TCCCTCTCAGGAGGGAACTTCATGGAAAATGGAAAAACATGCTCCAGTGTCCTCTTTATACCAGCACAAAATCAGCAGTAATTTAAGCCCATGGAATTATTATGAATTTCTACAAGTATAGCTGAGAACAAAAAGAATACCCTCAAGCATAAATTTCTAATACGTATTACGCCTCTTTAATTCACATTCTTTTTTTCGTCTTTTTTTCTGTACAAAGAACCTGAACATATCATATTGTCAGCTTAAGYTTTTCTGCTCTTAACTTAAGCTTTTTTGCTCCTGACTTGACCCCTTCCCACACACCAGCATGTCAAGGCAGAGCAGAGGAGTTGTTTATGCAGAGCTAYTGCTCTTACAGAAAGGAGATGAAAGGAAATGGCTTCATCAGGAATAGATTCTTGGATTCATTCAAGTGAAGCCCACGTAGTAATGTACTGGCAACCCAATAACTCAAAGTACAATATTTTATTGATGGCTCTAAAGCCCAGTGTTGTTCTGCTCCATTGTCTTTTTCATTCCAGCCTCTCGAGCGCTGCAGTTGAGAAAAGCCATTTTGCCTACAGAATATGGGTGCCTTTGCCTAGAGAACTTCTTAAGTACTTTAAAAACAGGGTGCAATTCTAGCCACTTTAAAAACAGGGTGCAATAAAGCCACAGGGTGCAAGCACATGGCTTTAAGTTCTCATTGCTTCATCAACGTTTATACCCACTTTGTTTTACTGATGACATGATAAAATAGATATGGTCTGGCAAGTCTAGATATTAAATGTTGGACTATTGCAAAGCAATGCCAGAAAAGCAGTGCAAGTCCTGCACAATGCCGGAAACCAGAATGTATTGGGAATATACCAATTATACTGCCTATTTCCCACAAGCATCCAGCCACATCTACCTCTTCTCTTTTACCCATTTACATTAACTCTGTGACAGAGTTATGGATCCAGGATAGCAGAGGGGCAGAACTTCAACACATCTTTCTCCTYGTCTATAATCTTTGGTAATCGATTAGCTGCTATGTTCCTAAAGAAGTTTAAATTGTTGTCAAATAAAAAATACATCCTCTAGCCATAGAAAGGTGGGAATAAAATAGTGAGGCTTATATATCTCTTAAGGAACTGTCTCTCTAACTGCGACTTACCAAGCTCATCCTTCCTGAAGTCCAGGATTTTACCATTATAACAGCTGTAAGCTGTTAGCTTACAGCCTGTTGAATTTAATATTCCTTTTGGCCCCTGTTAAAAAAATATATTATATTTTTATGGTGGAGATAGCTTTAAACCCAGTATTTTTCAACTGTGAAAAACTGATCCAAATCAGAAGGATCAAGGAAGATGGTCAGGAAAAGGTAGTTTTCATTGCATCTGTAATTCTACTGAGATATCTGGAAGCGGTTTTAGAAACAGTTTATGATTTTGTAGTCAATTTCAAGGTAATTCTGCTGTAGAAACTGAATCAGAAACCTTGAACATTCAGCTATTACAGTTGTATAACAGGATTATGTCTTGTTCTTCATGCTTTACACCACTGCAAACACCGAGTCTTTACCTACAGGATTTTCTAGGTAGTAAATTCTGATACTTTAGATATTCCACAGTAATTTCCCACATGGACAAGTACAAGGCATGCTGTAGTACAGATTCTCTGGAGTCCTTCCAAACAAGCCCCCTAACCTGTGCTTCCTTTTCATTAAATACCTTTGTAAACTTGGAGCCAGTAAATAGGAATCAAGCTGTGCACATGGTTGAGGGGAATTRCGGTGTTAAATCCAGCTCAATTAGAAGTGATTGTAATCTAAGCAAAATGCACACAATGTTTAATGAGATGTTGTGACAGAGCTGCAATGTTGTTTGTGCAAGCCTGCACAGAAAATCTCCAGCTATTTAACAGTACTACAAAGTGCATGGGAAAGATGACCTCCGATATCTGAAACTTCTCTCAAAATTCAATTCTCTGGTACAATGGGCATCTGCTCTTCCGGTTACTTTTTTGTACAATAAGTGAATTATGAGCTCAATAAATTTAATTACTAGATGAAGATGAGCTATATCACAGTATCACAAAGTAATGTATTATGTACATGACGTTGTAGATTTTTCAAAGGTGGCCACACCAGAAGGTACATTAAACATCTTTTGAACCTGCCTCACTAAGACAGCCACAGAAAGGCACTGAATATGTTCATTGATAATAAAAAGGCTGTATGTGACTCACTTTCATTTTTTAGAAGATAGTTTTTGCCTATGTTTCAAAAATTATTTTTCTCCAGCTACATGYATTATCATTCATGGAAATAAGCATTTAAATAAGGCTAATTAATCATTTTTTTCCTTTTTTTTGTCATGATAAGCTGACCTCTCGCTGCCAGAACTACAATGTAACTTGTCCTTCTTCCCACAACCAGTATTGAAGCCTGYTCACTATAGAAAGCTAAGTACATACACTCAGAAGATAGTCATCATCTCTAGAAAAATATATACTGGCAAAGCTTACCTATATCTTCTATAAACTGGGTTATTGAAGAACTAACTGAATTTTGCTGTTTAAAAACAGTGTTACCTGGCCCACAGTATTTCCCTGTCATAAGGTCCAATAATCTCTGTAGTAAGAACCTGAATAAGAATTCGGTTATTTGAGTTTCTGCAGAAGTCACTGTGAAACCTTGTGAACAGCCAGAACAAAACTGTGATGTAGCACAGTGCACTAATCCCACTACCAAAAGCATTAGGTCTGCTTAGATCACTTTTGTACTCTGGAAAAGAAAGCTGCTTGAAGACTAACAATCTGGTCACCTACTTATGACCACTTTAGCTAACTCTTCTACAGTTTAGYTCAGTATAGTTTAGTTTAGTATAGTTTTAGTTTAGTATAGTTTAGCTAACTCTTCACCTCAAGTGCACTGAGGTGACAACTAGTCTGAAAAAAGCAATCAGGAAGTCGTTGCTGATCCCATCACTCCAAGATGGTCAGAAATTTAGACTTACTATGGAAGTCTATAGAAAGTAATTGTTTCAGCCTCAGTGAACCTTGTCCACCATGCAGTCCAAAATCTTCCAAAGTTGGAACAAGTTATCATGCTTTTAAAAACTATTTGTTAAAAGTAAATTTTGACATTTTATCTGATTCTATCTTCTCCACTCACAGCTGCTTCACAGCACTGTTGCTTATTTGCAGTGAAAACACAATGTGAAGTTTTTCATTCTCTCCTCTTCATCCCAACCCTTTACGGGTTTGGTCTTCCAACTCATCAGGCGCCAATAGTTTTTCTCCATTTATATTGCAAATTCCCCAAGGCCTGCAGGGCACATAAACAGTTTGAACTTYGTGCCCCACCTGCTGGGGTGGGGACACTACCCTGGCTGCTCGTTCCTGAGGGGATTTGAGGGGTTTGACCCAATGTAACCAGACTGAAGGTTGCTGCTGCTGAGCCACCTCAGCAGCCAGGAACGGCTTCGCACTCCCGCCTTTTCTCCACCTCCTCCACTGGTGTTAGTTACCAGCTGTAACTGGGGAGCTTGGTAGGGGGGTATTCACAGCCTAACTTCTCTGCTAACCTAATATGGGTTAGCAGGATTTATTAACACATAGCACACAACCTTTTAAACCTATTTTATAGTTGTAACTTAACCAAAAATYAAACAGGTAGGACATTTATAGTTGAACGGAACTGTGTAAAGAAGAGAGCATGAACAATGAACAGAGTAAGTAGCAGCTTTGACATGAACCTCAGGAATAACAAAGTAATCACGAAGCAAAAGAGAAATCATGTAATTTCTCATGAACCCATCATTTCCTCATCAGTGAATCTGATAAAAGCAACAACATTAAATCCACATTCAGCTTGGTACAATGGACAGGCCAAACATTTCCATCACAGATGTAAATACATCTGATTAAGAGTTCATTAACTTGTTAAAGTCTCCTGATAAAAGAGACATCAGTTCCTTCCCTTTCTTGCATGTTGTCCTGCTTCTATTTAGGTATCTTTGTCTGCTTCCCCCAGCACACCTCCTACCCACATCCGCTGCTTTCTCTTGGCCTGCTACTTGCCATCTCCTCCCCGCAGGATGCACTTTCTAGCAGCTGCCTTCTCTCCCACACAGATCACCCTCCTCATACTGTGAAGGAGCAAGCCAACCACACAGACAGAAATGAGGCTACACTAAAAATAAAACACTATTAAAAAAAATCGCATTTTTTTACACCGTGAAGCAACCATGATGTAACCCTTCATAGGCACACACGTACTAATATCAACAGCCAGAAGATCTTTGAGAAAAGTAGTTTAAGTATTTAAAACTGTACTAGGACATATTTGTAAGATTCCATTCTGATCTTTTTTTTCACCAAAATAGTGCTTTTACACTATTACAGAACATTACAGAAACAAAAGATATATTTGTGATATCAAAAACATTCTCCTTAATGAGGAAGTATCTTATTTCTACAGTCTATCACATTTGCAAAAAGCTTGACTATTTTTTCTTGTCTACTGTAAAGCACATGTTACAGGTAGTATTTCATATCAAGATGGTGACTAAGCATTTCAACRCAATATAGATTAGCAGTTTAAAGAGTTTTCATCTGCTTCCCACATTCATTATATATAATAAAAACAACATCAAGATGTATAATTGGCAAAGGCTMTGCACTTTGGTACCTGTTTTTCCACTGGAGAGATGGTTTAGGAGCTGCTTTCCTAACACCAGGTATTTCATGAGTGCAAGGGCTGTAGCTGCCTCCTCCTCAGCACCTCCTCCGGAGAAGGATGGTCTCCAGTCCCTCAGTCCCTGGGAACACCAATGGCCCTGCCATATAGTCCTACTCTATGCCCAACCACCCAGATTCTTTTCCTTTTCTCTCTGTAAATCTTTTGACAGCTTCACAAACTCAACTGCTTTTTATACTGCAGTTCCTTCGCCAGAGATTAACTACCAAAGATAAAATTAAATCTTGCTTTGATATAGGAGGTTTCATTTCAAGATCAATTTTTAAGTTCTTACCACGCTCCATAGGTTCAGACACACGGAGCCAACTTGATGTCTCATTTCCATGCGATTCATCATGTCCTGTGGACACACAGTCCCGTGTAATGACTGGCTGAGAATGAATTAGGGGGGTTGAAGCCTGTTCATCAGATACCTTAGTTGAAGCAGCAAGGATAAATGAGTACTGTTAGAGCTTTCAGTGGGACCACAATATAATTGCTATCCTGAACTGGGACTTGCAGAAGCAAACACTTACCAAAAAAATCCCTGTGTTATTGTAAGCAAATGCTTTTAACAAATTCTTTCATATTTTATACAATGATCAACAGTGACTCAGCTATAAACAAGGCTTAACATGACTGTTTCTCCAGAGACACAGGGAAGTGGAAACCAGAGTGCATAAAAGAAAAGAGGCAGAAAATTAAGTCTTAAAAATACCCCAAACCTCATTATTTCGGTGATGCTTTCAAATTGACATTGCTGTTTCTGAAAAGCCATAGTGCTGGGGCGCATGGGTCTTAAAAGTAAATGACAGCTTACACTGGGAGTCACTCCAAGACTTTCTTCTTACTAAATAGCCAGTTGGAACATTAATATTCTAAACTAATCAAATGATAGGAACAAACAGGCATGCCAAAGTATGGTATTTAAGGGACTACAGTTCTAAAGTTATCCAGAAAATGAATGTATTTTGAACTGTAATATCAAATAGAAAGCTCAGTAGCTGCAACATTTCAGAGAGCAGAACTGGATTTAAGAGACACTTAAAAAAAAAGAATAAAAAGAGAAAATTATGCAACGTATAAAAAATTTGCTGAACCATTCATTAATAACCAAATACCCTATCTATCAACATAGACCTAGATTCAATTAAACAACCCAAACTTTGTTTCATGTTCCAGTTATTATTCTAAGAGCAGGACTGAGCCTCTAAAGAAAGTATGTGGAAATCAGAAAGGTGGTGGACACTAACTGTGCATAAACGACTTCCAAAGCAATTGGCCACACTTACATGTAGGACGTTGACATTCAGCTGCTGGAAATTACGGGACCTGAACTCTTGCATTCTCTTGATATTTTCTTGGTATTTTTCTTCTGCCAATTGCCTGTAAAGACAGATTGCTTGTATACAGGATACCATGTCAGGGAGTGCGCAGCAGGATGCTCTCAAGTATATATGGACAAGAAAACTCCATAATAAAACTACCACAGTGCCAAACCCTCAAAGCATCTTCTCAAGCAGTGGTTTGTCTCTGCAGATCCACAGACAGAATTTGGGCCTTAGTTTCATACATACTTTTCACCAGTTGTACAATATATTGAAAAAAAAAGCAAATTATTAGTCCCTGCCTCTTCATGTCCTCCCAAAGATCTTAAATACTTAGAGTTGGGTTTCACCATGTCAGTGAGGAAACACTCAGCTGAAGAAAGGCATGTAGCATTGAGACAGTTTAAACACTTCACACAGGGGAGGAGGTGTAGCTGTCTGTMCTTGATCCAGGTACTACACCAAGCAAGTCTTCCAGTTCCCTGCCCACCCCTGTCTAGAGCTGCACTGCTGAAGGCAGATTTCGGGTTCAAAAAAGTTCTGCTTTGGTAGAAATATTTCCAGGCAGAGTCCTTTGGTAATAATCCTAAACTGAATCATCTGTGTTAAAGATTCGGGACTGAGAATAAGATTTGAAGATTAACATGCTGCCTTTCTATTATGGGATATATTTGATTTTGTCACTAGGGGGAAAAAACATGAAAATCTAAATAGGAAATGATGAAATTTAAGAAGWCAAAAAAAAGTAAAAGCAAGCAAAATATCCTGCAATTACTATTACTTGTAAATCTCTACCCATAAAAAGGAAGGGGGAGGAATGGGCTTCCTATTTATAAACTTCATATAATTATAAAAATTAGCCTTGTTAAGCATATTCTTGAACACATCATGCAGAAAGGTTAAATTCAAATATTTGTTATATGGTGTTATATGGTTGCTTCATTCCAAGTATTTTATTTTTGAGGACTAACAAACATACCCACTTTCAAATACAACTTTTTCTCCATTCGCCAGCAACGGTAGATGTTGGTTAGGCACAAACACTGGTCAGACCTGCTTTCTAAAAGGAAATCAAGCCCTTGATTTTTCTGTTGTTGCTGTGCTTGTAGCTACAAGTAAAAGTGGGATGTGATTTTACAGAGCTCTTCTGCTATTACTGTTCACATTGCCCATTCTTCCTAGGCTGGATAGGGAAGCTATTTTGCAGTTGTTGGAAGGGAGGCAAGGCAGGAGGACAGCTCAGGAGGAATATGGGTAGCTGCAGTTACTGAGGCCTCACGTTGTTGTTTGTAATGGGAAGTCATTGCCACATGCATTGASAGCTTGTTTCAGCGTGGCAAGCTCACAGTGTACATTTCCTTCACCAGAAATAGTTATTCCCCTCTATTTCACAGCTCTAAATCATAGAATAAGCATTTGAAAATGCATACTGCCCTTGGAAAAATGGTTTTGAGGCAAACATTAAACTGAATTAACGTGGCACTCTTCTGTTTTCTCTTGTGTGCCATCAAAATAGAATATTCTATAGAGGCATGTGCTCATTGGTTTCAAACTACTTCTGAAGTTTGACTCAGAAATGATACTTACTCTCCTTTTAATCCTCCTGCTTTTCTTATGCCTCGGTTAGGAAAAAACTATAAATCATAAAGGCTTTATAAGATGTTCACTAACCCCGCATTTGGTCATTTGGTAAGGCTATTCTCTGAGCTATTAACTTTTATTGGCAAATCTCTTAGGTTAAGATAATTGAAAGAAAAAAATGGATTTTAACTAAATGCCTAGCTTCACTGAACATGTACTTCTTAAAAAAAAAAAGATACAAAAAAGTCCTACAGTAAGGATTCGAACATTTTTCACTCCTTATTTGATAACAAAAGCCTGTATCAAAGTACCAKTTGTGGGCTAATGCTCTGAGTTTTCTTTTAAGTAAATAATTACTCATTTAATAACCCACTATTTTCATTCACCTTGAGAACCTGCAGCACCTTCTCTTTTTTTCATCCTGATTGCCATAATTTTCTCATAAAACTACTACAAAGGGGAAAAGTGCCTGGCTAGGACACAGTGGCAGTGGGATGCAGAGCTTACTTCAGCTTCCTGCCTTTCTCGTCCGCAGCGTTTAACTTCCTCAGCCGCATTCGTTCCCGCGGCGTCATCCTCTGCACTTCCGAGCGCTCCCGCAGAGTCTGCAAATGGACTTTCCTCTGCCTGAAATTGAATGCAGGCAAGCCCGTCCTCACGCAAACAGGTGAAAAACRAGATTTTTGGTGGTGACATTTAAAATGAATGCCATTGATGACTAATAATGAAAATAATAACTGATGAATAAAAATGGATAATAACGAAAAAGTCACTGCAGGTACTATAAGAGACTAAGTAGACCTTTGTTCCTAAAGCAAGCTCCTCTCTTAAACCAAGATATTTATACTTCGATTCAGGAAGAGCATGAAGCATTTCAGATATTTCATATAATGAAATATGGTATGAAAAAGGCAAAATGAGTGCCTTAAAAGATGAAATGTTGAAGTACAATGAAATATTTACCTTCTCTGGTTTTGCCAGTCAGCGAGTTCCATCTAAAAATAGCCTTTAATTTAAACRAAAACCACTGAAAAAGTAGTATCAGTCATAACTTTTAACAAACAACATAAAATGTATCTAGGATAAAAGAGAATTTAAAGGGCCTTTAATTAAAATTAAAATAATCCTGCTACCCTCTTGAATTGCTGGTCCTAATGAAGAACAACACAATTTACCAGTTTAATGTTCTCTGTAGACCAGCCCTGAAAACTGAGCATGAATTATTGACATACGTATCTCATTTGTATTTATCAACRTGGAAGAGCAACATTTGTTCTAGGTTAGAAAAGGCTATAAAATGTGAGATCAATATCACAGCCTGTAGTGATTACACAAATTAAACCCTAGTTTGCAGTACCTTGGCAGTCCTATTTGACTTATGCCAAAATTCTGGCTTTTATACTTTTATGATATCAAGCATGAATTTCAAATAGCTATTTTTGCTCTTATGAGATAATTTCTCTTCTGATCATCTAAAAGTCCACTTTTGCAGGCATTTAAATTGCAAAGCTCCTTGTGGATTATCATAGCGAAATCTGGATTTTAATAACATTTGAAGGGAAGTATTTGCTGTCCTTTTCAAATGCTGGCTATAGAGGGGAACAGTGAAATATGAAAGACTAAGGACAAAGACAAGCACATTTCAATTATTAATCAGAATGGAACTAACCCTTCAAGTATAAATAAGGTAGACCTATTTCCTGTACCTTGGAACAAACTCCAATTCAAATCATTAGAACCTCTAGGGGGAAAAAGCCATTTTTCTTCCAGGATGAAACTGAATTTTTACAGTTTTATGCTTTCTTAAATATTTAAAATTTATGACTTGCATGGGATTGGAATAAACTAAACCACTAGAAGCTTTTATTAGAAGAATCTAAACTGAACTGAACACAGAGAAAATTCCTCATGAGGAAAAAAAGAAAGAAAAAAGAACAATATATGTAAGAGGCAATGACTGGGGAGGACACCACAGTGTACATACTCAGGCTACTCCTTCCTTTCCTTTCTGAATGGCATCACTTTGCAGGTATTTTGACTTAATTTTATCTACTTCTTTAGAACTTGAGCTGCAAAAATGCTTTGACATTTTGCTTACCACTAGCTATATAGGCAGACAACATTTTTGTAAATGTAATGAAATAAGAACATGATGTTTCTAGTTAAAACCTGCCCTTCATCTCTAATACAATGGACTTGCTTTTGAGCAGGTACAAGTGTGGTTACAGATTTGGGGATATGCACTCATGTCCTCCCTGTTTGTCTATTCTAGAAGCATACGGCTATCTGAAGTTTAAGTATACCTTTGGCAGGTAAAATATGGATTTCTCAATGTATCCATACTCTTTTGGAACATATAAATAATTTGAAATCATGTACAGTTTATAAAGGAAAACCCAGAAAATAAACAAAGGCATTAAAGGCATTAGTCCTTAATGATTCACATACTTCATGCTTTAAAAAGTATGTAATAGTATAATTCAGATAGAGTTAGCTCTCAGTTAGATTTCAATGCCCTGGAACTATTTAAGATGCATCCCTGAGGAACATCACTTTGGTACCAAATGATACCTGTATTTCATTTGAAGAGGCAGAGTTGATTGAATCAATCTGAATACAGAGGCAATAGGCATAAGAGATGTCTAATATTTCATRATTATTACACATCCATCTCACTGATGTGTTTCCAGTATAAAGGGCTGTGCAAAGGGCTACTACTAGCAGAGGAAGAACAGCAGAATAGCAAGAAGGCTAAAAACTGGACAGCAGTTTCTGTGGTCTCCATTTGCTTCYGTTTATTAGATAGTTGCTCTTGGGCAGTACAGGCGTCACTTATTGTCTTTTACTACCCTTCCAATGATCACCAGCCTGTTTCACACCGAATGGGAAACCCAAACCAAGGACTCCAGCCTCATGACAGGACAGGGACTCCTCTGGTCAGAGAGGGTGAGAACAGGATCCACATGGTTGAAACCTGCACTTCAATTTCTAGCAGTGCYTGACAGATACAACTGAGGACTTTCACTGGGTAAAGGATACACATAAAGCCTCCCTGCATTGAATTCTTCTGCCTTTATTTGGCTTTTTTTTCCCTATTGCATTATGAAACAATACTTTTTTTGAAAAGCTAACAAAGGTCCCATGCCTCAAAATGGTGCTCAGTAGCATCTGCAGTGGGGCCATGGACAGAATGCTGCCAACCTACTCCACCAGAGACACAAAACACAGGAGAAAGRCAGGAGGCCTCTCACCTCAAAGGGAATTAAAGGTACCAGTGGTGCTGCACAGCAGCAACATGGACCTCACTCATTATCTGAAGCTTCTTTCAATTTATTAGGTAAGAGCAATAAGGTATTGACAAGCACTCAGAGGCAAGGAAGAGAGTGAGATGACTGTTCCTTCTGCGTAGGATGAAGTGTCACAAACGTCTGATTTGGAATCAGACATTTCCACAGTGCAAAGCTATGCAAAGAGACGCGGGGACAGGAAGCAAAGGAAAACACTTAATTTACAAAGGCAGAAGGAAATTGCTTGTGTTGACACTTGCTTTAATCATTGCAGCATTGTAAGTGAATACAACTCATTAGTTTAAAATATAGTCAGTGTTTTAAAAGACAGATTATGTGCAGAGGGCGATCCAGCAAACCTCACTGATGTTAATTTCTCAGGATAGCTACAAGACAAATATAATGATATTCTACAGACGTAGTAGCTGAATATTAGTTTAAATGTTTATACTTTTATTTTGACATCATTTAGCAGCTATAAATTTCAAATTCAGTTATTACTAGGTACATAAACAACAGAGTTATAAATTATCACGACATAAATAAATTAYGGTCTTAGCCTTCAAAATATAGAGAGTAAGGTCATAATTTAATTATATACAACCAGTATTAAATTAATACAGGCATAGACCATATAACATATACCATATATGCATGCACAGTTTACACAATTAAGTAACAAAAATATGGCTGTTGAAGTGACTTCTTAACCCTAAAACTTAATTATATATCTCATTAGTGTACTTGCCCTCCTGCATATGCATTTTTGCAGAACAGGTCCCTATAAGAATATAGCACTATGAAATTAACACAAAAAATGTTTACAACACGAGTGCATTTGGAAACTCTGTAATTTGATATACTGGTGCCCCAGAACACTTAAATATACTTACACAGCATCAACAATGTGAGCAGCTTCTTTCTGCCAGTGAAATGTTTCATTTTCCTCAGCCATATGTTTGAATTTATATTGCATATTCTGAAAAAAAAAAAAGAATAGAAGCAGATGAAATGCTTAGGGCTAAGCAATCCAGCCTCTTCACCTAAGATCCAATACAGTCCTAACAGAGATAGTTTTCTATCCCAACTCCTTAGAAAGCTAACTAGTATATATGCTGTCAGGCACCTAAAAGACGAGACTCACTGCTTTCCCTTGAAGMTGTGGCTAACCAGGTTTTGAGATTCAGTGTATCCAAACCCAAATGCTCTACATGTGTTGCAGGTATGTGCCTGCTGCCTTTATTGCACCTAACCTCTCAAAGTGAGCACGTGCAGCACGTGAAGTGACACGGGCTTCATTTCTCTCTGCCTCCCTACCTCGGTTGTGTTGCAAGTTAGCTCTGCAAGTCCCATGGACTGCAGATCCTGTGGATTTCTATGAACTTATTTTGTCAGCACCTTCTTTTTTCCTGCCTCCATTTCACTTTTACAAAATGCATATTCAAATGGTAACTGTACAGCTATGTCTCTGTTGTCTGATATACCTTCAGCTCTTCAGCAATATAAGGGATTTTTAGAATCTCTGCTGCTGCTGGTCTCATGGAAGGATTCTTACTTAGCATACTGAAATATTAAAAAAAAGAAAAAAGTGATAATTCAATAATTTTCCAAATTAACTTAGAAAACTGCTAAACAATAAAACAGCATACCTGCTCAGCACAGCATTCAGTTTCATCGGATATCTATCAGGAAGAGAAGGTGTGTCACCTTCTACAATTTTTAACACCACGGACAAAAAATTGTGGCCACCAAATGCATGGTTCATACAGCACATCTCATATAAAATGCATCCCAGAGACCTGAAGAACAAAATAATAGGAATAGTGTTGGCAATGTTATTAAAAACAGCATGCATGATGACATTACAGTACATAAAAATGCCAGTATCTGGGGTTAGCCACATTGTACACTCTTCTGAGAATAAGATATTTCAGTACCACACTATGCTTTTCATCTGAAATATTCTTATTCATATCATAGGTTATGTTTAAAAACAGGAGCAATCATCATTGTATTTTCATAAATGGAGGGGTAAACTTAAGTTTTCAATATAAATATATACACATACACTTGTTCATAAATATGTGCATATATATGTGTGTGTGTATGTGTAAAACCCTACTATATGAATCAACTTGTTTTTACTCATTAAGTTAAACATGAAGTATTTTAATTAGTGACTGACTGAGAAAGTGGTTTAGCAATTTTTACACATAAATTTGTTCAAATTGGTTTTGCAAATTAATTTTTGACAGCAGAACGAGGTTAAATTCAAATTAAATGATTAAATGATGCCAGCTTTAAATAATAGACATGTTTCCATGCATAAGTTCAGTAATGATCACACATTCAAATTAGACTGGGCAGAAGGGTGGTGAGAATCAGTTTGGATTCAAGGTAGTACCAAGTTTAGATTATAATTTCCTGTTGAAACATCTAAATTTCCTTGAAAATATGTTTGGAGAAGAAAGGAGGAAAACTGGACATTCAGGTCTGCAGACCTAATTGAGAACCTGTGTCAGTTTTACCCCACCAGAAAMCAGGATGAATGAGCACAAGAAGAAAATTTAAATGGGCCTTTGTTTCACCATCATCCTCTTTACCAGGCCTCTTTCTCTTTAATACTGAAGGAGATCATAGATGATCCCCAAACAGAACATTTTAACATAAATACCCTCATAATAATTTATGCAACGATTATTCAGAACAGCTTGCACTTCAGCTGCATCCTGACAAACGTACTGAAAACAACAACAAAACCAGGGGAATTAAATGAGATTAAGTTTTAGGGGCTTTGAAGCATACCCAGTATTACCTTCATTTTACAGACCACAGAACTGTAACATCGATGAAGGCCTTGACCAAGGCTATGAAAAAAGGTCGGCGGGAGAGCTGACTACAGGATCTAAATCACCTTAGTAACCAGCTTACAAATGAGAGCAGCTTTACTCTTGAAGTTGTGCTTGATTGTGGCATTTCTAATTTACAGAAGTAGTATACTTCTATAGATAGATGGCTTTTTTTCTTTTTCTATTCTTTTTTTTTAAGGTATGGATTTGTTTTTGAAAGCAAGCAACAAATAAAATCCCTTTTTTTGTTGTTGTTGCTGCTGTTAAAGACAAAGGATTAACTCACTCTATCTGGCAGCAAAAGAACAAGAACAAATAATTTTAAAGCTGAAACCCAGTATCTACATACAAAACAAATAAGGAGGGGGCAGACTAGGAAGGCTCTCTCACTGGCACTTTTCAAGCAGTGTCTGAAAACAACCAGCACAAAAGTTTTGATAACGACTGCAAATAATTGCCTAGTTTTTATAAGATTTGACGATCTACTAACTTTTTTATTTCCAAAGTCAGTAAACAGTAACATACCAACAATGATACATATTTATGGGAGAGCTACACAGGCTGAGACGCTGCAACAAGTCAACTCTTACTTAGAAGATACTTTGAAAAAAAAAAAAACGCAGAGCATCCAAATGTATCAGATAAAAATGAAAGCCAGCTAGAGGGGAARGAATAAAAAACAGAAGGGGAAATCCCAACCCGACAGACTGCACTACAACTGCCTTTTGCAAAATCAATCTGCTTTGCAGGCTGCTTGATTGTAGCAGCAAGAAATTGCGTGCGGAGCCATTAGGGAGCCGGGATTTGGCACCTCAGGGAAGCCCATTTAGGCAGCTGGTTTCCTGCTCCGAATACACCTGCGGCTCCGGAGAAGGAGGGCAAAGCACRCCCGAGGCACGGGGCCAGGGCTGCCCAGGGACAGCCCAGCCGTGCCTCGGGAAAGCCATGGAAAAAAAAGGAAAAAAGAAAGATAGAAAAGGAGAAAAAGCAACGGAAATAAAAAGATTTTATTGTAGGATTCTGCTCTGTGAACTGAAGTAAATATCTCCAAAGCTGAGAGTTGTTRCCCTGGCTCCCCGAGTGGAGTCACTTCTTCCCCGGATGGCTGTTATAATTTTTTTTTTAATTTTATTTAAGAAAGMCATAAAAATATGAGCCGGAGCATTTGGTTTGCTGACTTCGATGTCTTTGAATAGCCTTGACCAAGGTGCTGGGCAGCACTTGGTTTCAGCAAAGCTGATGTGTCCTCATTTCACAGCAAAGCCACTGGTGCTCAGTTACAGCATACAGGGGAGAGTCTGGCCAGGTATCACTCTATTTTTCACATCAGCTGACATGCCTCTAAGTTCTCCCTGCTGTTTTTGGTCTTACTTCTTTACATAATATTGCTGTCTTTTTAACATCTTCAGTCTTGTGCAGGTCGCCCCAAACGACGTGACAGTCTTTAAAGGCTGACAGATCCAAATTAGCTTTTTAATTAACCTCTGAACAAAAGACCGTGTGCAGCATATACCTTTGTGGCACGTATCTTTGAGCCTAGTTGGACCACAAGTCCGTAAGAGTTGGTTTGCTGACCTAGACCCCACGAGGGGTCTGTTCCTGCCTGTATGAACGCAGCGCGGCCCCGCTCCTCGCTGCCTTTCGGGTCCTCGTGGCAGGGATTCTTCCTCCACAGCAGTACAGAACCTGCCATTAACCCCCTGGAACATCCCTGGGGTCCTTCTAGCAGATCCGAACCACAGGGCTCAGCCATTAGATGGAAGGGCAGTTTTCTGATGCTCATATTCATTAATTCCCCTGAGGCCTTTTTGAAGGAAGGGAATAAAGAATCAACGCTCCCCCAAAAATGCACGAGATTTTGGAATAAGGCCATGTGCTTGATGGATACTTCCACTAAGTTATCCTCTATGACTCTCAGGTCTTTTCTCTCAGAGAGTGCTTAAGGCTGAACAGAGAGCAGCTTTTATAAAAAAACACAGATTACAGTGCTGTTATATTTATTTTTATCAGAGTTACATTTTRTTTTCTGTTATGCTGGCTAAGCATCTCCCCAGTTCTTTAAAGATTTTTAGTTTCTCAAGATCCCTCTAGCTTTTATCAGCCRTTTCCAAACATGCAGCCATTAACATTTAATTAATCATCTAAAGATTTATGGATCTCCTGAATGCACATGTACAGCTTAAAGCACCTTAGAAATTGAGTACCAAACCCTCTTGGAAGTGTTAGCCATTCATTTAGTCAATAAACAGTATTTTATACGCTAGCAGAAATCTTCTGTGTTTCTCAAAAAGTAGGTGGACTTAGAATTAGCAACAGAGTATTCATATTATGCTAACAAATAAGTCTTCTTTCACTGTAAAAATCCCATCCCAAAATTCTCCTTTATACAAGCTAGATTCAGTAACAACCTCTAACACTCTTATTAGTTAGGCAGATTTCTTTTCTTTTTGGAGGGAGAAGGGATGTTGTTTTTTAAAAATATTTTTGGTTGAAAATAGGGGTTCAGACTCAACCCATATTACATCAATGTCATCCTACTAAAACTGTTCAAGGGTTATGGCAAAATAGGTCTCCCATCACTGATGAATGCATAGTGTCACCAAGTGTATTACCAAGTGTATTACCAAGTGTATTACCAAGTGTATTACCAAGAAAGTGATCAGAGATCCAGTGGGATTACATGAAAGTCTCCCAACACAGTAACAATTTTAGTCAGTTTGCTTTTATTCTAGCTCATACAGTGACTAAAACCGATAATTCTAGCCCAAACAGACATGGGTCGTGTGAAGAAAATGAAAAGTGTTTCTTTCCAGAGGGSAGTAATCTAAATCTTCCCTGAAAAAAGTTCCTTAAAATGACTCATTCTGTCTTCAGTTTGTTAAAACACGATGCCGTGCTAGAGCTGCAGGTGTCAGGGAACACCAGCCAACCCCAAACACCAGCACTTGTCCTACTCATTGCAGGTKACTGCTTTGGAAACACAAACGTACCAAATTTGGAAACAAAATGCACTAGCTACCAGCTAGTGACCTGTTTTGTGGGGCTTTTTTTTCCCRCAGTGTTGCAAATTTAAATTTTAAAAGGTCTATAAAAATACTGGAACAATTTCTGCTTTTATTTACTCTCTATAACTTACATGGATTGAGACCTGTAATTATGATTAGAACTTAACCACATTCTTTACCTTCAATTTCAATTGCTATGAAAGGAAACTATTCCTTTCAGTAACTGAACACAAAAGGCAGGTTTCTCTGCCTGTTCACTAATTTCCATATCATTTGAAATCTCCTCTCAATATATTTTTATTGACTAAATGTATTTGTTTTGATACAGATGAACAGGACAGAATCCTACACTAAATATCGACATCAGTTCCACTATAGGGAGTGTGAGACAAAATTTTAGGCCTATTTGTTGTCTGGATTCAGCCTCTTAACTGTGGAAAAATGGTCGTTACAAGTTAAAACTGGTTTCTGTTGTTTTCTCAACTTTCACACATATCYTACACATACAAACATATTTTGAAAATGCAGAATGAAGTGAAAGCTTGATTAAATTATCAAGTAAAAAAACTCCATTCCTGTGGTTAAAGGCTTTATGACAGAAATCTCCATATTTGAAATATTATAAAAAGGAAACTGTACACCCTAAGTTTTCATAGTCTTTCAACAGGGCTCTCAACTTGATTCTTAAGTCAGCACCTCAGGGAGCCCTCAGGATCTCCAGGATTCTTCTTACCACGTCAATGCAGSATAAGTACTTTGTTTTCTTCCTCAGGCACCCACCCTTAAGCCTTCTCTAAAGCTGAGCTGAGCCAAGACTTGCCAAGAATTTCCAGTTGAGTTCCTAAGATGCTCTTTCTGATTTTCCAGTGATCCTGGAATCACTATTTTCTTGCTGGCTTGACAGCTTCACAGAAAGTTTCTTGTTTTCACTCCTATTTCACAGAAAGTTTCTTGTTTTCATTCATATTTCTCAATAAGAAAAAGATTTCTTTCTTCCTAGAAAAACATGGACTTAGTTTACAGTTGCCCTGGGTCATGGCACAAAAAAAGAGCTGAATCCTACTCTGCTTTGCAGGCTCAGATAAAGCARGAAACTCCATACCTCTTAACACAAAGAGCAAACTTTTGAATGGCAATATATAACATAAATTTGCTGGAACAGTCCTAATGGAGAAGTGTGAGCCCCTTGCTGAAGACGACYTGCTTCCTTTTACATTAAAATTAATCTTTCTTTTAAAGTAATTTCCTAAATACAGCAAATGGTGACTTAGCAAAAGCCATTTTATCTAATTTTCCTTTTGATCAACAAATAATCCAACTGAATATCATACTGACTACTCACCAAATGTCAGATTTTGTGTTATAGCCCTGGTGCTTCAATGCCTCTGGGCTCATGTAGTACGGTGTCCCAGTAAATGTAGTCGCAAGGTCACATGAACCCATSAGGAGACAGGAAACTCCAAAGTCCCCTAATGATAACAACAGAAAGATTACACAAAAAATTGATAAGAAGACAAAAAATTAATACAAAAAACTTAAAGGCTACTATCAGTTTCATATACATTTACGTTCACTTGTTTTTTAATCAGGAATCATATACTTAGTTTGTAAAACCTGTCAAAAATTCTTCCAAAGATGTAGGGTTTTTTTTGCAAATATCTGACATAACTGCCCCAAACTGCTCCACATCCACTCAACAACTTCAGTTTCAAAGCAAGAGAGGATTGATTAATCTTCACTCAACTCTGCTTATATTACTTGCTGTTTTTATTGTTAGACATAGTAGAATAGCAGTGCATGGAAATAATTTGACAGAATTTTAAAATATGGAAAAAACAACTCTCTGTAATTCTTAAAAACATCACAAAATCATAGAACTAAGCAACAGTGYAGGTTTGAAGGGATGCTGGAGGTCATCTGATTCCAAACCCTCAGATCAGGGCCAGCTTCAGAGTTGCATCAGGACAATCTCAGGTCCATGTCCAGCTGGGTTCTGACAGTGCCCACGCTGCAGACCCTACAGCCTTTCTGGCCCCTTCTTCTTGTGTCTGAGTATCATATGTATGTTTGACAAGAAATCAAAAGGCTTTATCTGATATTACCTTATCTAAATCTCCTTATTCACAGCATTTATGCTAGACTGTTCTATCACACTAAAATATTCCTTTAAGAGTAAGGAAAGCTTACCAATTTTAAGAAAATTATTTTTCAAAAATATATTCTTTGCTTTCAAATCTCTGTGAAGTATTCGCCTGGAAGATAAAAGGAAACTCAACCTCATCAAACTTGAAGGATTCAGTCAAGTATCAAACATCTCAAACATCTCCTCAATTTGCATTCCTTATTAGCAAGGCCTACATTCCTTATAATTCAAGGCTKACCTATCAGGGACAGACAACGGCACTGAGGAGCTCCACAGAAACACAGTGGTACATCCCTAGACATCCCCAGGCAGCAAGAGTGCCTGAGCAGCAGGATAATAAAACTGTGCCTAGGACCCCAGTTTGAGAATACTGATAAACACTTCACGTGAGCTGCAGTAGAAGGCAGAGAGCTGCACGGTCTTCCTTGCTGGCTCTTCTTAAAAGCATTACATCCTATTTTCAGCTGCTTTTTCTGGATACCAGCTACCTTATTTGGTTAGGATATGTTAAAAAGTAAAMAAGTCACAAGTCGAAACCTTAACTGAAAACAGCCAAAGAGAGATKCATAATGGTGACCTCAGTTAACTGGACCCTATCAAAACTTAATCTAACTTGACAGGCAGCAAAAAGGGTTATTGATATTTTGGATGGAACTCAACCCTTAGGACTGGTTTCAAATTTGAGTAAATGTAGTTGTTATAGTATAAATGTACCCATACTAAGCAGTACATGCTGGATAGCTCGTCGTCATAAAAAAGCAGCAAGAATCAGTGTGCAGTGGGCAGCCTGCTCACATTGAATAAAGTTTGCTGCTGTGAAATATTCTGCAGAACTCTTCCTGAAGAACTCAGGTTCACAGACCCGAGATGTTTCTGGCGACCTTGATTCCTGTGCTAGGAGGGCTCACAAAGTGAAATCCAGGTAGACTGACTGAGCCAAGGCTGCCATCCTGCAGCCTGAGGGCAATGGGTTTGGTTACACAGCTGGTGACTATATGAACATTTCTGTGTAAACATATGGTTCATAAAGATTAACAAAGTGATGGACAGTGTAATGGTCAGCTTTGTTCAAATAAAGGTTAAACTGATCCATGGTCTGTTTGCCTCAATGTTGTGGGATCAATTTTGTTCCCCAATGCATATGYCAGAAAGACTAGATGGCTTCATGCTAAATGTCTTCATCTATTTAAGACCATTAAACTATGTGTCTATTATTCTTCTCTTTTCTCTATTATTCTCAGCAATACATGAGAAGTGAATCTATTTCTACTAGATAATTTAATTTTCAAATTTGAATACAAAATCCTTCCAATTATGTAAAATACACAGTAGATAGTAGAGTCACCCTGAGATATTCATACTCCCTTTGTGATTTACCAAGCATAAGTAAAAGACAAGAAAGCCTGATCTGTATAATCTTTATCATCAAAGAAGAAGAAAGAGCCGTAAATAAAACCAAATGTCCTGGAATAAAAAATCCCATCCACAGCAGCTGGCTTTTTCTAAGAAATACAACCCATAATTTATGAGCACTTACAGATTCTAATTCTAAAGCAAAGTTTTCTTGGCATTAGAACATAATTAAAACCATATACTATACTTTTTTCATACTAGTATTAAAGAAATTATATATAATCCTCTATACAAACAGGAAAATTATATCCTTATATTTCAGGAATTCATATGTAGTGCTGTAAGAAGTTTTAAATATATTTAAGCCCAAGTTTTTCAATTTTAGATGCTTCTTTTGGCTAAATACATATAAGAGAGAATTCATTCTCTAATATGCATCTAGTTAAACATATAATGCAATAAAGGAAATATAAATAAAAACAAACTGTCAGATCATTTGAATAAGTCTGGAAAGGTGTTAAAAATATCTCTGATTCAAAGACAGAAAATGAAATACTGTTTGTAAAATCAAATTTTTACTTTTACTGGGGTATTAAATTAAACTGTACTTTTCAGGACATCCAGTAATTTAATGTATTTATTTGCTACAGCAGAACTATTTGTCAGGAATTTTGAAGATTTATTGGAGAACAAGTAGAAGATGAGAAAAATAAATGAGAGAAAAGATGAGTAAACAAAAGGAACATATGGAAGAAATTAGGATAACACAGGCATATGGATTAGAGAAAAAAACTTCAAAAATTTATTATTACTGTTATGTATTAGTATATACAACCCATTGCCTAATCACATATTTTAAAGCTGCCACCACTGTAGCCTGTGGGGGTGGCACATCATATCCAAGTCCCACATAAACAGGCATTTAGGAAACAAAATCTGTGAGTGCTGGACAGCGATTCACTCTGCTTTTCCTCCTGTGCTGTCTGACACTGCACGTGAAAAAGCTCCTTAGGCACCTCTTGGTGCAGGTCAAGAATTTCCCAGGTATATTTTAGCTGCTCATGCATGCCCAGAAATGTTTATTCTCGGTGACAGGTGACTATCTCCATCTACTGCCGTGTTGCAATTCAGGTTTAGGCAATCAAACTAAGCTCAGGTTGTGAAATTGGAAAGATTAAATATATTTGGAAGAGCTACATCAATCTGGTGCTGATCTCCCCCTCAGTCTGCTGTATAATATCTTGGATTTCGAGTACTTATGCAGAAAGCAGAATACCATGGATTCTAGTTTCTGTTCAGCTTATAAAGACTGAAGCTTCATCTCCCAAGTTTGGGAGTGCAACCTAAGCATCAAACATAAACATCTCTCTCTACTGACTGTATTAATAATTTAGACCGCTAAATCAGACAGATTGGCTTATTTCCTCCCCAGATCATGCACCTAAAATTTCAGTGAGGTAGTGTCCAAAATAGTTATTTCCAGCTGACAGAGCAAATGCCAGACAAAATGATTACAGATAAACATCCTAGGCTCTGCTAAGAGGCTTTGCAGAAATGGAATTCTTATTTCTGGAAGATCAATAGTAATAACAGTCCAAATATTTCAAYTTGGCAGGATGAAAAATCCTTGCCTTTTGGACGATACTCTCTAGAAAGGATTCTCTGTCTTATTCATTAATATGGTATCACAGAGCTTGCAGCAGTCAAAAACAACGGAGAGGCAAAGGCAAGAGGCTGAAAGTCAGGTGTGTTTCTTCAGCCTCACTCTTTCTGAGAAGTTACTAGAAGAAGAAGAGGAAGAGGAGCCTTTCATTTCCATTTGCCTGGCTATTCCCTGGCTATTCCCCGAGCCCTGGATCTGGCATCCCCCTAGGCATTCGTTCCTGACTCAGCAAAGGGCTTTGCCGCCCTATCATGCCAGTCACGCCAAGCGGCCCCATGCGGTTCCAGGGGGACAGCCCAGGATGACACATAAGGCGCCCCAGACAGGTGTCCATGCATGACCAGTGGACTAGCAATGACAGAACTATTTAAACCACTAAAGGTGAAACATACGGAAGTCACACTCGAGGCAAGAACGATGCCAGCAGAGATGGATTATCYAGGGTAGTCACTGGAAATGACCTTCGCTCAGGCCAAGTGTAATCACCACAGTTGTCCAACAGTCCATCGACCTGGGCCACCACTGTGTGGGGAGCGGGTTACAAGCAGAGGCAGAGGACAGTGGTGCTGCCAGGTTCCTGAGGCGCGAGCACAACTTGCACTGAAAGCAGCAGGGAAGTTTTTACACAAATGCTCTTTGGACTCTCTACAGAGTGATTAATTTGATGCCGTTGGTGGCATGGAGTCTTACGTTATTAGCTACGAAATGTGTTAATTAATCAGAGAGACATAATTGTATGGATGACTTGCTGCAAATTTTTTTGGTGAATCTTTGATGTGTCGATGAAATTAATGACTGTTTTCAGAGAAATATCTTTGCAATTTCACTGATTTCAGTGGGATAAGCACATACATTTAAGCYTTCATATTAAACATCCAAGGCAGTACACTGTGTCCTTTTTAAAAAGATGACTTTCAAGTTAACCTTTTAATCTAACAATATTGAACTATTATACTTTTTTTTTTTCTATTATAAATTTTCACTTGATCCTAGACAAACTATGTTGAATGCTGAAATCTACTACTTCCCTGCTAGAAATACAATACACTTTAAAAGGAGAGTGTTCTTGCAGGATATAATTGTTTTAGATATACTACAGGATAACATTGCAGTTTGTTGATCTATATTTTATATCAGTGGAAAATGATCAAAATGGTTTTATTTTTMTTTGTTTAGCTAGTTAGTATAGGTCTACTCAATCCCCTCACAACCTTTCATATTAAAGTAAATGACTGTTACCTTTCATGCATATAGTTGACTCCAAGTAAGAGCTGTATAAACCATTCCATTATTTGGTTTTGAGTGAATATCTTCCCAGATTCTTTGTATTCTTGTATTTTAAAGTCCAGATCTCCACCCTGAAAAATAACAAAACACACTTGAACATTTAAAATATGTTTTTTAAACGTTTCTCCTTTACTAAGTTATAGGATTCCATTTTCTTCAGCCTTCAGGCTTCATACTATATATTTTGTAAAATTAACGCATGCACATGAATTCTGAACTCTCACAAGCACCAGATGCTTACAGAACTGAAATCAAAATGAATTCAAGCAGCCAAACTACACAGAGGTAGGAGAGTTTTCTTTTAGATGGAAGTCTTCAACTGTTCTTACTTCATGTCACCCAACTTAGGTATTTATATCTGAGCTAGTCATTTCAAATGCCCTTTAGAGTTAATACAAAGGAACAGGCACTTGTGGAGTGCAATTTATCTCTTTCATTTAGATGTCCATCTTAGGAAGAGGGATGGATCATGCTGTAGCAATATTGTTTCTCAACCAAGATTTATGATGAGGGCCTATATTGAATAGTTCCTATGTAGACACTTAATTAAATAAATTTTCCCYTCGGTCTGAACAAGTTTGTAAAGTCAAGATAAACTTCTGTCAATTATCCAGAAATACGCATATGAATCAAAGCTCATTTTTCTAAAAAAAGAAACAGAGATGGTTGTCATCTTGCTCATTTAGTTCATTAAATGAATGTATTTTGCCTACAAGAAAGCACCTCAGCTGAGGTAACTAACCCCAGAGCAAAGGGATTGTGATTCTTATTACACTCTCAGTGATTAATGACCTTACATTAGGATACCTTATTCTCAATAAATCATTATTTTTACCTTACACATTCTGCATAAAATCAGAAGTTTTATGTGTCACATACAAGAAAATAGTTTAACCTCTACCACTATGGTAAAAGTGCAGACTATAGATAACCAGTTATGGGAACTGTGTGTGAATAAGCCATTCCCCTCCATCAGCCCCTCCACTGATGACTCTCAACATCTAATGGCCTCCTCACTGCTCCTTGTTCTTTGGTTTTCGAACTCACTGTGCTCCCTACTGCAGCCACAATTTTTATGAAGTGGGTTCTGGCTTTGAAGACCTATATATTTCCGCTCTGTACTTGAACACAGACTTGGGCTACAGTAATTTTCTTGGCCCTTGTGGTTCTAGGTTGCAACATTTAAGAGTAAWCGTGTTAAAAAGGAAAACCTTATCGTACATAAAAAATTCATTTCCTGACAATGCACAGCAAGCTTGAAATTGAGATGTATGAATCAACACATTCACCAGGGAAGGGAACATGGCTTCAAACGTCCATCTGCCTCCCTCCTGCAGCCCAGAGGGAAGTTCTTCTGGGACCCTGGCACACTGCACAGCTGCCTTCCCTTTGCAAGCCCAACTGTTCAACAGCTTCCCCACGGCRGGGACTGCAGGGAAGGGGAGGAAAACTGGGAACTCCAGTGCAGAGCAACCAGATGGACTGTGCCGGGGCCTCGGCACACACCTCGACGTGAACGACTCGCCTATCCCGACTGCTGCTGGGGAGCCTCAGGAGGCAGTGGCATTTACATCCCGGGGCTCCCCGGGCCTGGTCCAACAGGCCCGGCCGGCGCCTCTACATGCCATCCAGCAGGGAGGGCCCACACAGAGCAGACCCGGTCACCGCTTCTCCTCTTCTACTGTGTCCTCCCTCTCAAACACATATTGCCACCAACCAGAGAAAAGCAGCACAGGAGCTGCAGAGTTAGCCCTTGTGGGTACTCTGGTAGACTGGGGGATATTTCCTCGGCATGGGCTAATAGGGACAAAAGTACTTCTATAAAGTACTACTCAAGCAGAGAAGATAGCCTTCAATGTCCTACAACTAATTTAATCTTCGTTTTGTGTTTAAAAAAAACACATCATAAAAGATTTGCAGAAATACCACTGCTGTGAAACTCTGAAGACACTTAGTAACACAGTTTTCTGTTTTGGAAGATCAGTAAAATGAACTTCACACGGAAGTTAACAAATGGAGCAAAAAGGAAATTTCCAAGCTGCAGTTTCTTTTTAAATGTCAAGAGCATCAAACACATCACTGTGTGTATTTAAAATGGAATTCAAACATTTAGGTTTTATTACCGATAATGTGAATAAGTATTCATTGCTGTAGTTATTCCTTTTTCTCAGATTGCCTTAGCATATGTAAACTCACAACACAGCTGAGACTACACTGAAGAAACTGAAATAATTATTTGTGAGAAAGTACAAATAGATGTATTTTATGATGCATTAAGATAACACAACATTTAGAGCAATCATTTTATTTTAATTAAAAAATATATTTTATTGAAGCCCAGTTTATGGCATAACATGAGATCCAAGTTTCATGAAGGCATTTTGGCTTGAAAAATGGCTTACGTGACAATGTTTGTACTGTCTGTGAGGTGTTGAATTAGGACAACTGCCGAAGGAACTCAATAAGATCAAAACAGAGAACTGTCTTTTGAGAATTTTAAGAGAATTTGGCTACAGATGCCAAGCTGAGCAATGGAGCCCTATGTTCTCCTTTGTTCATGGGACAGGTTCAGCACTGGGCAGCTGCACTGAGCAGACTTGCTCTGCACTGTCCACGTAAAAGTGAACAAAAAAGCCACAGCATTTTAGAGAAAACAGAATGAGGGTGAGAGGGCAGTTCCGTTTCCATGCCAACTTAATGGTTTTTCTTTATTTTGAGCCTGCCACAAGAGTACCAATTACTGCAATGCGTGGTAATTGTTCTATGCAGGAGAAACAGGTAGTGACACCTTTTTCTCATTTTCCATTCAAGCAGGATTTAAATAGACATCTCTGGAGAATAAAAAAGGAAAAAAAAAATTTAAATCTCACTACTCATAAAGTACTCATAAAGATGCTATAGATAAGCAAGTGAAAAAAAATGTGTACCTTCTGGAAGTATTGACTCTGAAACAGAAAAGAAAACTTACCGCACTATGTGAAATCTTACTTGTAAAGTATTCAGAGAGATTTCACTTTTTTTTTTAATTAAACACTGTCAAAAATTTGGTAACTATACTGCAGTATATTATCCTCCCTTAATATTTGTGATACCTTCTGCAGTGTGATCTTTGAGTTGCATGCCATTCTCCACTTCTCTAATAAAGCAAACGCTGTTTGCAAGCCCATCATCCAGATGATCAGGCTTATGCTTCTTGTAATCACCTTGAAAGCACAAGTACCTTTTCCCCTCCTCATTTACACCAAGTTTCACACAGTGTCCACATATTCCCAATCTCATCCTCTCTGATTTGTCAGTAGTACATATGTAGTGCAGACTGTGCCACTGGTAATGTACTGATAACGTGCCTGTGTTTAAGTTGTTCCTGTAACACTAGCTATGCCAAGTGAAACGAACTTGAATTTAATATTACTCCTTCTCTTCTGATTTGATGGTTCTTCATCTATGGGATCACTCAATCAAGGAATATTGCTTATCTGAAATATGCCTAACAATAACAGACAATATCMTTAATAAGAAATAACTTAAAAAGAAAATTCAAAGTAATACATTAAGTACCTGAGCTAGGTTTCTGTTCAAACTCTGTTTTAGTGCACACATTCTGAAAAATTCCTTCCAAGCAATTTAGAGATCTCACCTCGCAGTATTCAGTGATAATGCAGAAACTATCTCGCTCCACAAAACTTGCATAAAATTTGACAATGGCTGGATGGTCTAATTTGGAAAGCAGTTGTGCCTCTAGATTTGCTTCAACCGTTTCATTTGGCTTTAGATTTCCAATAGAGATCTCCTTTAGAACCTTGCTAGAGAGGAAAAAACAATCCTTGTATTAACAAAAATGGAAAAATGCAGAATCACATAATGCTCATAATCCCCTCATAATTCCTTAAAATGCAAAATAATATTAATCAAGTATTTGGCAACATAAAACAATGAGCAAGCGTAGGTAAACAGAGAGAATGCATTAAGATGCAAATAGGGATGCTGGTCTCCATAGTGACTAGCAACATTTTTAAAGTATTTTTTAAAAGTATTATTTTTAAAAGTATTATTTTTCTCACTTTCCTCCCAGACTGTTTTCTTCATGACAGCTTTTCAGTGCTATGGATTACTGTATAATAACAAACATAATTGAAAAATGAAACACAAGTGATCTGAGACCCACCCAGAGCATATGTTCAAGCTTCGCATGTGAAGTACAGAGTCATGAGGAACAATTTGTCTTTGCTTCTTCTGTCAAATAGACTCCATTGGGGCATGAGACAAATAAACATAACATTTCTGTGACTCTGATTACAAAATCAGGACAATGATCAGGACAATCCGCACCTGGAGTACTGTGTGCAGTTCTGGGCWCCCCAGTGTAAGAGGGACGTGGAGCTTCTYGAGAGGGTGCAGAGAAGAGCAACTAAGATGATTAAGGGACTGGAGCATCTCTCGTATGAGGAGAGACTGAGTGAACTGGGCCTGTTTTCTCTGGAGAAGAGAAGGCTCAGAGGGGATATGATTAACATGTATAAGTTCAGGAAGGGAGAATGCAGGGAGGAAGGGGACAAGTTCTTTTCATTGGTGGCCAGCGATAGGATGAGGGGTAATGTCCACAAGCTGGAGCACAGGA